TTGGCCAAATTGTTCGGTGTACACTTAGTAGTCGGTTAAAGAAAAAAGTTAAAGAGTTCCTAATTAGCGAAGGGGAATCTGGAAGTATTCCAAGTCGGGACCTAACAACTGCACAAACAACAAGAGTTTTTGTCGATGAACTGCAGAGAAAATCGCGTCCAACTTTTAGCTCATGCACATTAGTAACGACTTTTACTTATCTTATTGCAACATTTTTCTTTATGAAGTAGCTAAATTAATGATATTACAAAAACCTCAACACCACTTATTAAGTACTCGCAAAATGTCAACGTTTACTAAACAGTTAACTACACTTTATAGAACTTGACCTACTCATTACATCAGTAATTAATGATGAAAATGAAGATGGTCAAGAGACTTTTCTAAATAAATTTAATTATAAATTCATTTATTATATGTATGTGTAAACACGATAATTCAACTAGCTAACTATTACACTAAAATTATAGGACCGTATCAACTTTTAGGGTAAATCCGTCAACCGGAAACTGCACTTAACCTGAATTTGTGCCGAACCGTTTTCATATAAACTTGCACATCAAACAAAGAAACTCGATTAATATGCTTTGTGTATCTTCATAATTACTAAAATACACTAAGATGTGAAATTTCAATCAAATTACGTAACAGGAGGTGCTATTTCAAAATTTGATTTTGTCTTATCTTCGACGAATCTTTAGCAAAAGTTGTTAGATTAACTGAACGATATTTATGGCACATCGAATATTCATTAAATTTGTATTAAAATGTTCGTTATTTCATGGTGATATCTCAATTCGTTCTTGAGATATGACTTTTTGAATTTCTATTTTTAAGATGATGAGTTGAGTTCAAAAAATCATAACAATGAAGTTTATGGAAACCAAGAAATTATTTATGACACATCGAATATTCATTAAATTTGCTTTAAAATGTTCGTTATTTCATCATCATATCACAATTTGTTCTNCTGGTGTGTTCTCCATATTACCTGCGATGATTTTACCAATAGATGATTCACTTCTTGGGAAATGTGGAATTAATTCGTACTGAATGGTCGTTGCTTCTGTTACATTTAAACCCAAAGTATCTAAGAAAATAATTTTTACTTCAAAAATTAACGATTGTTGTATTATGTATGCACTAAATGTATTGAAGGCTCAAAATATATAAAGAACCGATTGACATTAAAAATTCATATCTCAAAAACTGAAAGGTATCTCGAAATGTGATCTTTTTTATTGAAAAGCTTATGCTTTTATTTATAATCGCTGATAATTTCATAACGATTTATTAAAACCTTGATTTATTACGATTTTTTTTAATAATAACCAAAAAAAGGGTTTTAATTTATTATTAGGTAGGGCAGAGTTGGGGTTAAAAAGTCATAACAACGATATTTACGGAAATTAAGAAATAATTAATGGTACACTAAATCTCCAATAAATTACCTTCAAAATGTTCGCAAAATCATCATGATATCTCAATTCGTTCTTGAGATACGAGTTTTTAAAACTGTGTTCTTCAAATTTATGACAATTATGTGCAGAGGTGGGTTTAAAAAATCATAACACCGATGTTTATGGAAAATAAGAAAGCATTTATGGCACGTTAAATCGTTATTAAATTTGCTTTAAAATGTTTGTTATTTCATGGTGATATCTCAATTCGTTCTTGAGATATGACATTTTAAATTTCTCTTTTTAAAATATTAATAAAGATGTTGAATTTAGTTTAAAACTGATAACAATAAAGTTTATGGAAACCAAGAAATTATTTATGGCACATCAAATATTCATTAAATTTGCTTTAAAATGTTCGTTATTTCATCATCATATCACAATTTGTTCTGGAGATACAACATTTTAAATGTTTATTCATTAAATGCATAACAATGCAACATGCAGAGGTGGGTTTAGAAAATGACAACAACCAGGTTTATGTGAAATAAGAAATAATTTATGGCTTATTAAATCGTTATTAAATTTGCTTTAAAATGTTTGTTATTTCATGGTGATATCTCAATTCGCTCTTGAGATATGACTTTTCAAATTTCTATTTTTAAAATATTAATAAAGATGTCGAGTTCAGTTTAAAAAATCATAACATTAAAGTTTATGGAAACCAAGAAATTATTTATGGCACATTAAATATTTATTAAATTTGCTTTAAAATGTTCGCAATATCATCATGATATCTCAATTCGTTCGTGAGATACGATTTTTTAAATCTCTAGTCTTCAAATTTATAGCAATCAAATTTGCAGAGTTGTATTTAAAAATGTATAATAACGAGGTTTATGGATAATAAGAAATAATTAATGGCACACTAAATCTGTGTTAAATAACCTTCTAAATGTTCGCTATTTCATCAAAATATCTCATTTCGTTCTCGAGACACGATTTTTTAAACTTCTATTCTTAACATTTCCAATTAAACATACAGAGTTGGGCTTAAAAAATCATAACAACGATGTTTATGGATAATAAGAAATATCTAATGGCACACTAAATCTGAGTTAAATTACCTTCAAAATGTTAGCTATTTTATCTTTATATCTCATTTCGTTCTTGAGATATGATTTTCAAAATATCCTTAAAATAAGAATGTAGATGCAAACATAGAAAGGGCATGATTAATTGGAATATTTTCAANGTTGGACAATTTATAAAGAAAATAATTCTGAATCATGAAATAGTTCACAAAATAAATTATAGTCATAAAACGTAGTGGTTGAAATTTACATTTTCAATTATTTCAAGCAGTTTTACGACATCATCAGATATTATATATTACAATATTATGACCATTACCTTAATTTACGATTCTTTGAATACTCGGGAGAAAAAAAGCTCAATGAATGTGTAGCCAGAGGTTAGCACAAAAAAGATTGTGTTTAATATCAGTGAGAATAAAAGTTAAAATAATTTACGAACGCTTTAAATGCCGATAAATTTAATTTGAGTACAATATATAGATCAGATAAATTTGCAGATAAATTTATAAGCGCTCTGGTTTATGTAAATATCTCTCCTCTATTATAAACAGAATTATGCACCATCATCGAAAATGGACCACGATATCCGTATTAACGCTGATTTACATGGATATTGATTTGTACGAACTGTCTGTATGTGTGAGTGTCTTTTACGTTTAATCAGTATGAACAGGTAGATTAAGACATTTTGCAAACTGCATTAGAATTAAGCATTTATCACGTGGGGGTTCTAGATAACCATAAAGAGATGGGTATTAACCGGCACAAAAGGGTGCGTATTAATCTAACAGTTACTCGCTAATAGCTTTTACATTTGGGACCCTTATTGCCCATATTCGTGAATAATTCAACGAGTTACATTTCACTAACTACTCCGCGCTTCTAAACTGTTCGAGGTAAACTTTCGATAATTAATGCAGTAAATCTACATCAGCGGGATCTCTCTTCGAATTTACTTAGGATACAAATTCTCTTAAGTCGTATTTTTGTTTGTGCGATCTTTCGACGTGTTTACAACCATTGTGACCTCGATAACGGAAACGGGGGTTGCAAACTCCGCGCGATAAAGAAGCTTTAAACGAATTGTAGTTCGTCTCGAGAAGGTGCATTAAGCACAACAACATTTATCTTTATTAACGTGCAGATTTTAAGGCCAAGGGGAATTCAACCCAGATTTTCCCCCGCAAATGGGTTGATTTATTATGTCAAAACTGAGTTGGGGTAATTAACATTTCACGGTTTCTACTCGCTGCTTAACTCGCTTAGTTCGTCCACTCCCTTCGGGAGTAACAAGTTTGCGCCATATTCGCTTTGTTAGGACCGTTTGTTTTACGTCCCTTATTTTTCTTCGGTATATTCAAGAGATTTTTTAACAAAAACTCGCCCTACAATGGAATCTGAAACACACTCGTGACAAGTGAATTAATATGCAGGTCTGAAAATGTAAAACACCGACCATCATCGTGAAAGAAAGAGAAGTTTTGAGTGAGATGGGGTAGGTTAAATGGTAGGGGGCAGCGGAACCTGGTCGTCGAACCGACATAGCACCCTGAACTGGGTGACATAATGGATAAATTTCACGTGCGAGTTATTTTTATCAAACCTACCCGTTTCCAATTCAATAAACATTGGCCCCTGTAGCAGGAGTTTATCCCCCTTTTAAAATATATACTTTCTCCCCAGCATCCCACATCATCACACGATCTTATAAAAAAATACATTAAATAATTTGTGTTTAATTGAAACTTTTCTGAAAGAAAGTTAACGATGTTGTTTATTTGGATTACTTCTTATTTAGGTTCTCCGATCTGACAGAAAGGTTCACGGGAGCTGCCAAAAGTTTTCCGAAATGAAACCTAAACATAGAACGATTTCGGTGAAACTTTTTCGTCTGAAAGTTTCCTTTCATGAAATATTTCTTGGCGAGGGAAAGTCAAATTAAATTTTTCCGATTAACGCGTTATTATTAAACGAGAAAAAAATGTTATTATAAAAACGCTGACCATTCAATACGATATTTTAAATTTAATGCAATTTACACAACGCCGAAATGGAAAAACATAAAAATATAAAAACGTCAAATATTTCAATTTCGCAGCCCAATTCGGTACGAATACATGCACATATTTAGTAAATGGTAAATGAAACATAGTATTCGTTGAAAATATTTTGCACGAATCAATAGATAGAGAAAAAAAACTTTTTTATTGTTGATTTTGCATTAAATTTGCATTGGTAACGAATTTTATCTTAAATTAAAGTTTAAAAAACATAAAAATCTTTCTCCTTTTTTTTTTAACTTGTCATTCCTATAAAAAATTTTAACTTTTATTAATCGTGCGTTCTGTTATGTTGTTTAATTATAATTATAAATAGATTTAATAGCGATTTTGACAATTCGGCTGAGGATGAGCTTGTAGCTCGAAACTAGTTCCGTTTAAATTAAAATTATAGCATGTTTTTATTTTCTTTCTTATATAAAAATCTTTAATCTAGCACTCACCAATACGTAAACGGCGAATGGCATCACCACAACTGCAACGAGTAGATCTGCCAAAGCTAAACTGACGATAAAGTAATTGGTCACAGTTTGAAGTGTTCGTTCTCTGTACACACTAAGTATAACTAAAACGTTCCCGTACAATGTAAATATCGGAAATAACACTAGTATTAACGCCCAATAGTTATAAGATGCCTCCAAAGAAGGATTTTCTTCAAAACACCCCGTTTGATTTGTAACATTATTACTACAATTCGATGATACTTGTAGATTACCGAAAACATCTGACTCATTTCCGGTAAAATTCAAACTGTTAAAATACTGATCTATATCTTGGAAATTAAGAACTAATCCTGTTAGTGATGAGGATTCGTTCTTTCTTGAAACGTTGACGTAATCGTAAGAAAACCTCTGATCGAGGTACGAAGAATTCTCTTCCATTTCTCTCTTTCTCTCAATTTCCACGATTATTATTTAAAATTTCTCGAGTTATTGCGATAATACTCAAAAATCAACTTAAAAGTGTTCAATTCTACGCGTTTTTTCGCCTCCATTTTTCGACTTTCAGGTTCTTTTCAGAGACAAATCACCGTAAAACCGGCAACGCAACAACTACCGGGATTTCCGAGAAACGCGTGCATCCCCCGCGATTATCACGAGAATTCTGTGCGCCCGACACCGTCACGAGTACATCATGCGTCGGCGCTAAAAGGGTTCAAATGCGCCCTCGAGAAGGGCGTCCATTGAAGGGATGGACATCACCTGTGACTCGAAACTCAAACGTTCAACGGTGGTTAGTTAAAAATAAATAATCCACTTTCAAACCAAATTATTTCAAGAAAATAAGGACTAGGTTATAAGTTATAACGATAACCTTCCCTCCAATTTCACTCGTGCAATGAAGGGCACAATTTATTATCGTTAAGGCAGTATATACGAGACGAACAGGACCTTGTCAGGATCCACTTGGGGCTTAAACAACGCGTAATTAAGGATAACACTTCATACGTTGAACGAGAATACACGTCGACTGAAGGTTATTAATTGTTTTGTTTAGACCTTCATCGTGGGGATGCATTCAACTATTAATATTACCACGTTACATTCGCGCTATTATGTAAGGTCGCAAAAAAATCTATTTAGTAACGAAGCTTTTTTGATAGAGAACATAAAGAGACCGGCAACGTGTAGTTTGCATGTTCCCTTTGCAAAGAAAATGCGTTACGGGGACGTCCTAAAACGCGACCCTGGAAGAAAAGATCCTAAAAGCTTCGTTCATTCGAGCGGGTTACATTACGCTCTAGGTCGGTTTTGAGCTTTTCCACGCGTAAATTGCGAAATCGGATATCATAAATGTTACGACAAGTATACGAAGGTCCTCAACATATTCTATGCTCTTTCAATGCTTTGAACGTGTAGAGTACGGTAAAAATCGCATTGCAGCAATCATATCAAGTATCTATATTTGTAATCATTTAAAGAATAAGTTTTTTATAAAGGTTTTTTTATGAAATTGTTACTAAACGTATCTAATATCCCATTTAACCACATTTATGGATTATGATCGACCAGATAATATCGGGTTTGAGTTCATTTCCTGTGGAATTCGCGAATAAAATCTTTCGCCAAAGACGAATACCGCTCAGAAAATCGTTTCTTGAGGGGGTTTAAAAAGTTTACAACTTGTCTAATTTATCTGCACTCGATCCTCCTTATAGAAGACTTGACGCTGCTCTCAAATACTAGAAACTGCCAATTGAAGTTCGAGATTAGTTATATAATAAGCGTTTTATTGTTTTTAATATTTACAATTTTTCCTTGAATACATTCTAATATATATATACAGGTTGTCTCGAAACTCAACGTCAAGCGGTTACTGGAGGAGAGGCCAACCCATATCTGTTCTGGTAAAAATAAGAAAAAAGTTCCATGACTCTTAGTTAAGTGGAAAGACATATTTTTCAAAATGTTAAAAATTGTTCGCGTATATCATATCTTTAGGTACTAGGATCAGAAATGTTCACAATTTAACACTGATTTTTTAATAATGTATTTCTTATAAACTATGCTACTATGGAAGTCACAAATCAAACAACAAAAGTCGTTAGTTTTGCAAAAACAAATAGTAGTTAAATTGAATTAAGGTTGAATGAATTTATGTCTACTAAGTTGGACAGGCAATTTTTAAAAGAAGGAGTGGTACATAATATGTAAGTTTCCATGGTACTGATAGCTCTCATTCTCCGTACACAGTAAATTGTGCCATTTAGCTTCTTGGCAGTATTATCTATATGGGTATCATTTGATTTTTCATTCCTCGCCTGGATACAGACCTAAGAATTTTAGGGATTTATTTTCGGTATTACTATGTCTGTTGGTAAAGGTAATGCATTGGTCTCATGTGGTATAATGCTTGGCATGTCATTTATGTATATGATAAATAGCAAAGGACCCAATACCGAACACTGAGGAACACCCACTAAGACCTCTGCAGCATTAGATCTTCCTCCATTTACCACCACGATTTGCATCCTAGCATTCAAGTATGACTTCAGAATGTCGTGTGCAACACCCCGAATACCGTAGTAACGTATCTAGGAGTAGGGGATGGTTTACACTATCAAAAGCTTTTGATAAATCAACTCCAACCAACTCTAAAAATTTTCTTTTATCTATTGCTTCCAGTATTTTGTTTACGGTATCTTGTATAGCTGTGTCTACAGATTTTTTTTAACGGTAGCCATGTTGATATTTAGTGAAAAACTTTCTCTTCTATGAATTGGTGTTAAAGCTGTTTTTTGTAGTTGTAGATAATTTTACTTCTTTCCTTTTTCTACTCGAAACACAGGTTTCTTTTTCAGGGTAGCAGTTGTCAAAGGTACTTTTCAAGTACATGAAATAAGCAGAAAACGTTGCGTTTGGTGTATTTCCAGCATTTTCGGAGAAGAAACACTTCAACATTTCCGCTTCAAAACGGCATACATTCGAATCTTGTGTAACCCTTCCTTTAATAACATGTATTGTTTCAGCTTCCTTTTCTTTGTTATGCAACTTTAGCTGCTGTACGTAATGATCTGACACGTGTAAATTAATGTTTCTTTTATATACTGTTCATCACTCCAATTAGTAATAATGTTATCAATGCAAGACGTAGTTCTTGTCGTTTCTCTTGATGTTTCATAGAAAACGTAATGTAAATTATAACTCTGCAATAAATCTTGCAGTAATATAGCTTCTTGATTTTTAGTGGCTATACATTAATGTTGAAGTCCCCTGCAATGAAGACTTTTTTGATATCTATTTCTTTTCTTATAGTGTGAAACAAATCTTGGAATTTGTCAAAAAAATATCTAAAAATCTCGGCTCGTTGATCGATAGATACCAATAATAATTTTTTTATGTATTTCAACTGCGGAGATTTCAATGTGTCTCTCTATCAACAGTGAGTGAAGATCCGGTCTCTCTTTAAACTTTTTATTGTTCTTTATTAGGATTAGATGGCCAAATTTCAGGTTTCCTTACATCATTCAGGCTTTCAAAGGGAACAGATAGCTTGAGTGAATGTACTACTTAAATATCTCTCAATGTCGATTGACTCTATTTTAGGATCTAAGCCATATACGTGTAAATGGTTAATAGATCTCTCTCGATCTTTCTTATATAAGACTTGACACTGCTACAGGTTTGTATCTTTTCCCATTTTCAAAAAATACACATTTTTCCTTTTGTTGATGTCACTCCGATTTCCAACTGCCTATTTAGGGCTTGCAGCAGTACTGTAAAGCTCCAGCAAGATTGTATACTATCAATAGAAGACTCAATCCTCCTTATAGAAGACTTGACGCAACCGGCAATTCACTAGAATGTTCAGGACAGAATGTTTTGGTCCAGAAACTCCTGTGATAGCTGCAGCTATGTAAAAAAATTATCGGTGGTTACACCATATCCATTGCCCAATCCATCAATTAAATCTAAAACGACTCTTTTACTTAAAAAAAATTTAAATAATTACAAGCTGCTCATCGATACAAACTCCAACATTAGGAATGTAGGACTTCTTACAGTTTGAAGCAAAAATGTCATGAATATAACGAATAATTGCCAATTTATCAACTTCACGTCTGTCTGATCGGGTTGCTAAATTGTCAAATCGTATGAATCTAAGTAAAGATTTCATTCTGTTGTGAGACATTGTGGCACAAAAAATTGGTGTGTAAAACGATAGATATTTAGTACTCTATAATTCCAATATTGGCTCGTGGTTTGCTTTGAAGGAGCCCGCAGGAATTAGCAATCCAAAGAAAGCGTTTATTTCTACCTTGTCAATCGTCTCCTAAAATTATGTAAACCCGTCTCCGTGTTTCTTGAATGACGACATCCATAATTTCATCAGAAATAGATTTTCTACTTCTAATTTTATACATTTCGCAAAGGATATTTCTAGAGGATCGTATGCTCAATCTAGGCGTGATTTTGCTCCATATTGTACCATCTCTTGCTTGCAACGTAACATTTGTTTTATCATTATCCGCAACTGAATCACTTGAATTTGAACTTTCATGATCCGATGGATTATCTTCCAACACTTGATTTTTATGATATTTTCGTATCATCACAAGACTTTCACTGACTGAGACAAACTTAGAAACTTGCACCTGAATCAAGGTTATGTTGACACATTTAGCGCACAGATTTCAAAAATAATCTTAAATTATAATTGTAGAAAAATGATAAGTCGATGACCAAGAGGTTCATTTTTGACCCCAACTTGTCAAAACATTTTTTTTGACAAATTTAGTTGCTCGATCAAGGTAAAAAAATACAACTAATAAGAAAACTCGTCAAAAAAATCGATTAAAAAAATAATGGGACCATTAGCACAAATATTTCTAAAAATGTCTATGAAAAACGGTGTCTGGGGTTAAAATTGACCCCCCTTGGTCATCCGAGGGTTAAAAGCTAGATATAATTTACAGGAGACTAGTAAAGACAAGACTCTGCTGATAGAAGACTAGATATTGCCGGCAGAAAACTAAATACTGCCTATAAGAAGACTAGATATAGTTAATAGGAGAGTAGACACTGCTAGTTAAGACTAGAAATTGCCAATCGAAGTTCGAGATTAATTCTTATCTCTTTAGAAGACTAGATTGTGACTTTTCTGACAGAAGACTAGATACTGCTCTCAAAAAACTAGATACTACTGGCAGAAAATAAGATTCTGCTGATAGAAAACTAGATACTGCTGGCAGAAATCTAGATACTGATGGAAGAAGACTAGATATAGATAATAGAAGACTAAACGCTGCTGGTAAAGACTAGAAACTGTTAATGGACAATCGAATATTGCTGGTTAAAAGCTAGACATTATTTACAAATCACTACACACTCTCAATACGAAATGACATCACCCTTACAACTAGCAGGAGACTACGTATTGCTGCAAGAAGGCCAGATGCAGCTAATAAGAGACTAATGCTCAACTCACTTCTCTACTTTCTGCGAAGAACCTTATAAAAGTGTTAGAGCAAGCTCAATTCTTGCTCGATATACTGCCAAAAAAATAATTTACTTAGATTTTAGAAGCGTTGGTGAGCGTTTTTGCTCACCACATAAG